GGTAAATAAGTATTTGACCCCTCTGCAAAACATGACTTAGTACTTGGTGGCAAAACCCTTGTTGGCAATCACAGAGGTCAGACGTTTCTTGTAATTGGCCACCAGGTTTGCACACATCTCAAGAGGGATTTTGTCCCACTCCTCTTTGCAGATCTTCTCCAAGTCATTATGGTTTCGAGGCTGACGTTTGGCAACTCGAACCTTCAGCTCCCTCCACAGATTTTCTATGGGATTAAGGTCTGGAGACTGGCTAGGCCACTCCAGGACCTTAATGTGCTTCTTCTTGAGCCACTCCTTTGTTGCCTTGGCCGTGTGTTTTTGGTCATTGTCATGCTGGAATACCCATCCACGACCCATTTTCAATGCCCTGGCTGAGGGAAGGAGGTTCTCACCCAAGATTTGACGGTACATGGCCCGTCCATCGTCCCTTTGATGCAGTGAATTTGTCCTGTCCCCTTAGCAGAAAAACACCCCCAAAGCATAATGTTTCCACCTCCATGTTTGACGGTGGGGATGGTGTTCATAGGCAGCATTCCTCCTCCTCCAAACTCGGCGAGTTGAGTTGATGCCAAAGAGCTCGGTTTTGGTCTCATCTGACCACAACACTTTCACCCAGTTCTCCTCTGAATCATTCAGATGTTCATTGGCAAACTTCAGACGGGCCTGTATATGTGCTTTCTTGAGCAGGGGGACCTTGCGGGCACTGCAGGATTTCAGTCCTTCACGGCATAGTGTGTTACCAATTGTTTTCTTGGTGACTATGGTCCCAGCTGCCTTGAGATCATTGACAAGATCCTCCCAAGTGGTTCTGGGCTGATTCCTCACCGTTCTCATGATCATTGCAACTCCACGAGGTGAGATCTTGCATGGAGCCCCAGGCCGAGGGAGATTGACAGTTCTTTTGTGTTTCTTTCATTTGCGAATAATCGCACAAACTGTTGTCACCTTCTCACCAAGCTGCTTGGCGATGGTCTTGTAGCCCATTCAAGCCTTGTGTAGGTCTACAATCATGTCCCTGACATCCTTGGAGAGCTCTTTGGTCTTGGCCATGGTGGAGACTTTGGAATCTGATTGATTGATTGCTTCTGTGGACAGGTGTCTTTTATACAGGTAACAAGCTGAGATTAGGAGCACTCCCTTTAAGAGTGTGCTCCTAATCTCAGCTCGTTACCTGTATAAAAGACACCTGGGAGCCAGAAATCTTTCTGATTGAGAGGGGGTCAAATACTTATTTCCCTCATTAAAATGCAAATCAATTTATAACATTTGTTACATGCGTTTTTCTGGATTTTTTTGTTGTTATTCTGTCTCTCACTGTTCAAATAAACCTACCGTTAAAATTATAGACAGATCATTTCTTTGTCAGTGGGCAAACGTACAAAATCAGCAGGGGATCAAATACTTTTTTCCCTCACTGAATGCAACACATTTTCCACCAGTATCTGTGCCAATACACCATACAACCAATAAACAAAGCATACCGACTTCAGGCACCTCAATATCATGGTTTGCATTTTCATCACCTCAATAAATAGACTGTCAATCTGGACAAACAGAACATACATCCCTCCTTACCTTGTAGTCTTACCCAGTATCGAAGGCTTGCCTTGACAATCTCAGAATGTCATTAAACTTCTCTTTACATTCATCAAATTGCCGCTGCACAGTTTGTATTTACTGATTTATTTTATTTGTCAGTTGAAAAAATACATACTGACTGTACAACACATTAGGAACCTTCCTAATATTGAGTTGCACACCCTTTTCCACAGGGATGCTGGCCCATGTTCACTCCAATGCTTCCCACAGTTGTGTTAAGTAGGCTGGATGTCCTTTGGGTGCTGGACCATTCTTGATACACGCGGGAAACTGTTGAGCGTGAAAAACCCAGCAGCGTTGCAGTTCTTGACACACTCAAACCGGTGCGCCTGGCACCTATTTCCATACCCCGTTCAAAGGCATTTAAATATTTTGTCTTGAAATCCCTCTGAATGGCACACATACACAATCCATGTCTCAATTGTCTAAAAGCTTAAAGATCCTCCTTTAACCTGTCTCCTCCCCTTCATCTACACTGGTTGTAGTGGATTTAACAAGTGACATCAATAAGGGATCATAGCTTTCAATTGTATTCACCTGGTCAGTCTATGTCATGGAAAGAGCAGGTGTTCCTAATGTTTTGTACACTCAGTGTATATTATTTCCATTCAGTACAAAGATTTGTAAAAGTGACCGGGATTGCACAATAAAGTCGGGAATTTACAGCTCGCAGATACAGTGCGGGTATAGCCTCCATGATGAGATTATTATGGGCAAAAGTGAGAGATTATTTGTATTTGTCAAACGGCAGCCAAGCATCGATCATCATGTCACCAGAATAAGACCATCGATATGTATTGAAAGGAGCATCAATGTCATCACCGTGCACTTTCGCCACTCTGTGAAGTTCATCATAACTTATTTCATCTGTCGCCTAATAAACTGCATGCTTTCCCATGATGTCATGACTTTTTTTTGGTACTTTTTTTGTACTTTACTCGCATAAAAAGGATGGAGGGAAACCTGGTTAATGTCAAGCCATTTTGAGGATGCTGGAATTATATTTTGGACGAATGTGCGCATGACTACAGGAGACTTTTGAAGTAGCCTAATCAGATTAAAACATTCTGACTTGTTCTGTTTATGCCACATATAAAAGGTAATACATTTTAGAAGTTAAATAATCAATATTTAGGCTATATTGAATCATTAGGTTCTAGGTGCGCGAGGAATAGCCACTAGGATTGGAGAGGAGGCAGAGCATGTGTTAAGCTTTCCTGAATAACTAGGCCTGCCTGGAGCATATGTGGACACATTATTATAGGACGACTTGGGAGAATGATGATCTACAAAAGATATCTCAGTATCAGAAGTAAGAAATACAGCCAGACTGGTCTGCTACTGTGCCTTTCTAGACCTTATAAACTGTCGAGAGTAGACCCACAACTGATCCAAATGGAATGAAACATTCAAATCACATGGCTTTTGCGCCGTTATGCAAATAACATTTTCACTGCAGCCTAGAGTAGAATTTTGTCCTCGCTTGAAAACAATTATTCATTGCATTGTGGTGTTGTAGGCTAGTTTAGGTAGGATACTTGTATTTTCACTAAACAAGTTCAATAGGGGAGCTTGTTGAGCTGCGTGTGTCATGTCTTCACTGTTCTTTCATGCACAATGATGCACCTGGCCTTTCCGCTGCCTATCAGCTATTCCTATTTGTTCTTGTGGATTCATATTTTAAATTGATGCAGCTTTGAATGCTTTTATGTGTGGTGTATTGCTCCTGAGTGGCGCAGTGGTCTAAGGCACTGCATCGCAGTGCTAACTGTGCCACTAGAGATCCTGGTTCGAATCCAGGCTCTGTCGCAGCCGGCCGCGACCGGGAGACTCATGGGCGGCGCACAATTGGCCCAGCGTCGTCCAGGGTAGGGGAGGGAATGGCCGGCAGGGATGTAGCTCAGTTGATAGAGCATGGTGTTTGCAACGCCAGGGTTGTGGGTTCGATTCGCACGGGGGGCCAGTATAAAAAAATATATATATGTATTCACTAACTGTAAGTCGCTCTGGATAAGAGCGTCTGCTAAATGACGTAAATGTAAATGTTAGTTAGCCTATTGCAGATCTGGACAAAGGATCCACCTACCACTATTGCCACTATGAATGGTGGATAGAGGGCAGGATAGACAGTTAGACTGGTAGACTATATTGACCTGTGATATAGTAAATGTTAGCTCTCGGAAAAGCATAGTGCATACGGGAAATATGGCTAGGGGAAAATAAATTATATAGTCAAACCTGCAAAATAGCTAATATAAACCAGGGAAAAAACACTCTACCCTGCCCTGTGCCCAATAAAAAAAAGCACACAACCCTCCCCAAAGCAAAAAAACTAAATTTAAAAAATTGGTTTGACAACCCTCCCCTATTTTGGACCCCCCCCCCCCCCCCGTCATTTTTTCGATCTGTCCCTTACCTCTCTAGATGACTCGCTGGTAAAACATGCCTGGACATGTGCCCTTACAGACTTGGCTTGTGTAGTCCACTTGTTGTTGTCTTACCAAAGTGAAAACAAGTCCCAAGTCAAACTCTTGACGATGAAGATATGAATAAGTATACAGAGAAGAAAAGTGTTTTAGCTCACATTTCTTTGAGCCCATTCAATTTTAACATAGTAATAATAGCCATATTATACTCTAAGAAGGCAAGTTAACATGTAACAGAAAGCAATGGAGAACTTGGTAATGCCTGTCGTTTTACTTTTCTTACGGAATTTCAGGTTAATTTCACTTTCTTTTTTAGGACAATCTTCTGTTCCTCTATTTTGTATACCACATACACTGAGTAGAGGCTGCTGAGGGGAGGACGGCTCATAATAATGGCTGGAACGGAGCCGATGGAATGGCATGAAACACATAGAAACCATGTGTTTGATACCATTCCATTAATTCTGCTCCAACCTTACCACGAGCCCGTCCTTCCCAATTAAGGTGGCACCAACCTCCTGTGATACTACTAGGAATCGTGTATCTGGAGTGACGTATAGGGGACGTTATCTATCTAGTTCCTCAACACTATTACCTACACACATACACAATCTATTGTTCTCTATTGCGTGCTCTTTCTATCTCATATACCAACCTATAAGCACGCCTGCTGATGTCCTGCTGGGTATGCATATATGGATTCTGGAATAAAGAAAAATACATTGCAAATGTATCTAAAAGTTGAATAGATCAACAACAACAAAATCCACCGTATCATCGCAGTGACTGACTTTCATATCAGCCATTCAGTCAAAGAGTTGAAGCTTAAAATGCCATCTCTGTAAGTTGATTGGCCTTTAGCATTTGCACAGCCTACTCTGTACTCCGCCCCTATATGCTTTGATTGGGCACACTGTTACTGGAGCAGTTGTCAATGTATGGCAAGTTTTTTGTCCTCTTTTTTTTTTTTTTTTACCTCTAGCTAAATGCCCAGGCATGTAGTTTAATTTTGTACCGGATCCGCATTGTTAACTGGGTAGGTGAACATCAAGAGATACAGAGCCGTATCCATGCACTAACTTGTTGGAAAATGATCATCTGTACGAAAAAAATGGATTACCCCCTCGGAACCCAATGTCAGCGCGTCCAGAAGCAGGTATTTTTCTTGGTACTAAAAAGCTAGTCAACATTAACATTTACGATTAACTAGCTGGCTAGTAATGAAGTTAAATCGACAGTGTCGTTCGTTCATTCATTTGCCCTGAAAAAACTTAAGGCAGATATTGTCTCCTTTCACGAAACTAATGTAAAACTAACGTTAACGTTAATTAGATGGCTCCAGAACCACTTCATATGATGAGGTTGGTTTTAGGCTCGAGCTAAAACTTTTACTTTATCTAGCTAGCTAGCTAACGTTAATTATTTAAATTTCCTAGATAACTGCCTTGCTAACTCAGACAACTGAATTGATAACTAACGTTAGATGACAGTTGACCAGGGGCAGGTGAGCAGCTAACTATCAAGTGGCAAGCAGTTTAGCTAGCCTGCGAATTAACATGAGCAAGCTAATAAGTTAGCTCTAGTTTACTAACGTTAGCTAGTGACTTATTGTTTCTCATCTCTGAAATAACATAGCTAAGGTAGTTAACTAGTTTAACTAGCCAATGTGCCAACGGCAACAATGCAATGGCCATACATTGTCAGTCTGGCTAGGTAACTAGCTACTTGAGTGGAAGATAAGCTTTCAATCATTTTGTCAGTCAATGAATGGGAAGTTGCTGTTGTTGCAAAATGGTTTAGTCAAATAGCTAGCTAATCGGTTAAGCGAAATGTCTAAATTATGTGGACAGGACATATTCATTCAACTAAATTAATGGGATTGAGTGGTTACCTAGAATGTAACGTTAGCTAGCCAAAATGGATTGACAACTAACACCTGTTAATATGTAAACTATAATACTGTAATTCCTGATATCTTTGCATTATAATCGTATTTTTCCTGCCCAGGTTTGATATGCAGTGCTATCAGCCGCCTACTCTTTTCTCTTTTTGTGGGAGAATGTGATAATGACATCATCTCTAGAGATTTGCTCGTGCAGAAAAAAGTGTCTGCTAATGCAATGTCATTCTATAATTTTGCCATTTAGTCAGTCTCTTATGACGGTTTACAAATAATCTAGGTTACAAACGAACAAAGGTTTGTCGTTGACAATCAGAATTCGAGGAGCTGATTTTCTGTTCTGTTTCAATCCGCCTCATGCGTTGTCCTCTGCCATAATGTAAAACGTTTGGTAAATATATTTATTTTGTGTGTCTTTTTTCACTAAGATGTTGACTTCTTTGTGCTCTGTGATGCTGGGTGCACTGCCAATCAAATTTGTTTTTCTCTTTTCTGTGCTGATTTTCCCATGTACAGCCGAAAGGGGGCAGTGCGGATAGGATAACTTGTTTACTGCAATTCAACATTCAGAAGTTGCTAGAACAATAGAGGAATGTGATCAGTGACATGAATTCCTTAATATTTTATATGAAGATAGACCTGACCTGTGCCTACGCTTCGTCTACAAGTGCACTTGCATATAAGGGTTCAGAGACCTATGTTCAATGCAATTTATTTATATGTCAGATGCGTCACCTTTATGTCCTGCAGCAAACCTGTCATAAATAAATATATGATAAATACCTTAAGAGATTTTCACCAGGTGTTTGCAGATTTCACTAGACAGGAGCAATATGTTGATCATGTTTATGTGAGGTATATTTCTCATTTGAATAAATAAGATCCTATAAGAGGTTTACAGTTTGGACATTTGTTGCGGCTCTGGTGAGAAAACAACAGGCATATTGTTGCATCATGTTTTTGGGTGTTCTCTCTTTGCGCAGAATAAAAAACGTCACATCATAAATAAGCTTGCTGCAAAGTGTGCACACTTGCCCAAAGTAGGGTCCCCTTACCACCTTATCTCCTGTCAATTAAAGTGCCACAGATAAATGGCAGGCGTTGAAAACGGTCTTATCTGATGCCATGGATATGATTTGGCCATTCTTAGGCATGGTTTTAGTTTGGGGAAAATGCAAATCGGAGAGAGGGTTGAAAAGGGGGGATTATGAATGTGTACCTAACCAGGTTACAAAAGATAACTAGATCAAGCAAATAAAGTAACCTGAATTCTGAAATACATTGTGTGCATTAGGACTTGTGTTTCTAGTCTTTATGTTCAGCTGTATGTAGGCTGGCAAGAGTGCAGGTTTGTGTGTGTGTGTCTTATCCAGTCTTTCTATGTAGGCACCATATCATCTGGCTCTACCTGTCTGTCACCTTTTCTGAAGTTCTGTTTCGTGTTATACAAGTTTGCCTGTGTGTCTCCATATGAATTCTGGTATGTTTGTGTTGGTCGTCTATAGCTGCTGTCCTGCCCAGCTCCCCCCTCCTCTCCCCCTGCGGGCTGCAGCTGGCTGTTTTGCACTCCTCCCTGGGTTCAGGTTGCAGAGCCAAAAACAGGGCTCGCCGTTTGTGTTTCTGGTGAAGAGGGACGAGTGTGTTAAAGGCAGGCAGCTGGGACACTAGCAGAGCAGCGCATGACAAGGACAGACCCCTTCAGCCTCACTCAGAATGCAGATTGAATATCCCCCTCTCTCCTCCTCCATCTGCAGCTGACCCCCTCCTCTGCAGCCCCCTGCACTACCTCCCTCACTCCCTCCCACATTTACCCTTGGAACGACTACTGGCATAATGTTTCCACTCTTTGTTCTCATCTCCGCATACCTCTCATTTCCTCTCGTAAACGCAACAATTTTTTAGGCCATTGTTGTCTATTCGTCTGTTTCCCAAACCCCTTTTCCCATCTTTGTTTGTTTGTTTCTTCTACGTCTTTCCCTCCCCTCACCACTGCCACTTTCTTTTGCATCTCGTTTATACCTTGTGATGTTCTCTGATCAATAAACAAATGTATGGACGTATGTAGAATTTATGTAATGTGTAATTTCCTGTCTGGGACTGATGCCATTTCAATTTGACTAGGCAACTTTTTATATTGGAACATGTCCAAACATGTTGGAGATTAATTTCCCTATTAGAGCATGCCAAGATGTCTGGGTAGATGAATTGTACCTTATAGAAAATGTAGGCCAAATATATGCCGGTGTGATAGTTTGAAGTGTCTGCGATTGTCTGGTCTGGTTTGATTCATTAGTGACCCATTAAATAATGCCAACAACAATGAATGGAATGACTAGTTCTATGTCTTCAGAATCAGATCACTCATCATGCCTTTTAAATGGTGACTGACTTGTTGAGAGGTGCTGAACGTACATGTCTTTATTGTGGCTCTGGGAGCCTGTTTTTCTGGGTCAGCCGTGAGGTGGGGTGTCGTCAGGCTTGGTTATCGGGCCCTGCTGAAATGGGATATATTTACAGGGGGAGTGGGGCATGGAGTCTAAGGCTCGGAGCATCCTGGTTGGGAATGGGGTTCTATCTGGGACACTGACTGGTCTGGAACGTTGTCATTCCAGCTTTAACGCATCGATTGGACAGACAGTATTAATAAAACACATTAATAATGTGGTGTCATGGCACAGCACCATGGCAGGCTTTAAAAAGCCTGGCAGAGCCCTGACATGATTCCCCCTACTGAAATGAAACTCGTGTTTCATTCGCTTGTATGGAAGTTGATTCTCAGAAAGTTCCTCGAAATACCCTTGGAGGCTTGGTTGGACTGAGTTCTTAAAGAGTGGGAGTTTCTTGAGGCTTGTTTATTGATGCCTGTTGAAGCCAGAGAGAACACTACCATGGAGCGTGGGTCCACAAATGAGTTGTGTGTGTGTGTGTGTGTGTGTGTGTGTATGCGCAGACACATGTCTGTATGGTTGTGAGTAACAAACACCTGTGTCAGTGCCAGAGACATTGATATTAGACAGGCGAGGCCCCAGTCATAGAGTTGAGTTCCCATGTTCCTTGAAAGTGGGTCGCGTCCGAGTCTGCATGTCGGAGCGTTCACTCCTGTTTGCTACGCTCTCTATCACTGAATCTCTTCATCTTCTCTCTCTTCAAAGGCCTCCACACATCCATACAATGCATGCTTTATATAGGCTTACCATGAGATTGACAGTCAATAGCAGTTGCGTGGTGATAAAACGGACTACGGTCATTGTGAATGAGGACTCATACTTGAAGGACATAGAAATGGAATGCCACATTTAATCATTGAGGCAATGAATTCCATGGGCTGTCAGCTGAGTGATAAACCCCCTATGCCTGTCCTGTTTCCCCTCTTGACATCCACCAACACATTGTATTCATTTTATATTGGAAGGTCTTTGTCCCTAATGCTGGAGGAAGAGCTGCGCCACCTGCTGGGTAAGGCGTGAAGTGTTTTTATGAAACAGAGAAGCCAGTGAGATATGCTAACCTGATGGTCAAATGCCAAGGAGCTATTCCATAAGGCGGTGGAAATAAATAACGACTACTGATATAGATATAGCTTTGGTATGACGGGGGTCATAACTCTACAGTGGTGGGTTACTGAAAACACCAGGCTCTGCCAGCAGAGGTTGCTGAGCCACTTGGCCCCTTGGTAAGCTGGCCTGGCCTCTCACATTTCACACACTGGGGAACCGACTCAAGATCTGCTCTCAGCCTCTCTCTCTCCGGCCTGGTGCCAACACCTTTTCCTAGAAGCCGTTGTATGAGAGTGAGAGAGGTAATAAATGTCTTTAGCCTTTACAAAACCAGGCTCTTTCTCTATTAGTCCATATTTCTCTTGGCCGATGTCTCTCTCCTTCTCCCCAGCCAGTCTTTCGCTCGCTATTCCTCCTTCGTTGCTGTGGTTCTTCCCTCATTGAGGCCACATTCAGTTGCAGCCTGGTATGTTCCCATACACCTGAGCTCCTCTGCTCTTCTCTACTCAGGTTATCAACTCCTCTCATTGTAAAATGGAGGACTTTGAGCAGTTTTGGTATTATTCAGGGTACCACTCTTAATTCACTAATCTCATTGCATCCTCCTATGACTATTGATCTGTTTGTCTTTTGGTTGATCCTCCCTGGTAGTGCGAATGTGTAGGATGCTGGGCTCTTTTCTTTACCAGCAAGTCTGTCTCTGCCTGAAAAGTGTGCAGATCGGCCTTGTTTGTGTTTTGCAGGGGAATATTGTGAGGAATGTCTAGTGGTACAATATCTCTGCTGCTGTTACAAGAAGGCTCCTGTCGAGGATTGATTCAAAGTTTATAACCCACAGCTCAGTCCTGACGTGCCTGCAATGCACATACTGATCTCACTGTAGGCTGACACCACAGGGACCTTCAAAACAGAGGCTATCCTGCAATTATTTTATTTTCCATTTTGTTATAAACATTGATTTTCACCTGGCAAGGAGGAAGATGCATAGACCTAGTTGGCACTTGCTGTGTGCATTCAGTCAGTGACATATTGTCTCTGCCACCTGTCTCACCCTCCTCTTCCGCTGGTCCAGGTGATGAAGGTGAACGCTGAGAAGGAGCGGGCGTCGCTGTGGTGCATGAAGGCTCTGGCCAGCAGGGGGTGTGTGGACGCCGTGTCCCAGCAGATGGCCTCTCACCCCCAGTACCTGGAAAGCTTCCTCCGCACCCAGCACTACATCCTCCACATGGACGGCCCCCTGCCCCTGCAGTACCGCCACTATATCGCCATCATGGTGAGGCCACTGGACACACACACACAGCGCATGATGCACAGAAATGCATCTTGTATTTGCACCAATCATGCACACCCACGCATAGTTGCACACACTTGCACAGACATGTAACCACCTCAATCCACCCACACTCAAGGACGCCAAAGCACTTTCATATACATAAACAGTCACTCGTTCTCGGCTCAACCCACCCACGCACAATGACACAAACACGGTCAACATGCTGGAGACAAGCCTGTTATTGTTGTAGATGTACTTGTATTTAAGTGCTTCTCTCGCTCTTTCTCTCCCCCCCCAGGCTGCAGCGCGGCATCACTGTGGCTACCTGGTGTCTCTGCACTCTGCCCAGTTCCTCAGGGTGGGGGGCGACCCACTGTGGCTACAGGGGCTGGAAGCAGTCCCCCCTCGCCTACAACACCTTGACCAACTCAACAAGGTTCTTGCCCACCAACCCTGGCTCACCGCCCGCTCACACATACAGGTACCACAGGAACCAGCTCTTAGAAAGAATATGTAACATTCCTACAGATCAGATATTTGGATGCTGATTCTTAGCTTTGTGGTTTAGTGTCATATCCTTGATCAGTACATTTACATTCTAGTCATTTAGCAGACACTCTTATCCAGAGCAACTTACAGCAGTAAGCCTTGCTCAAGGGCACATCAACAGATTTTTCACCTAGTCTGCTTGGGGATTCGAACCAGCAACCTTTCGGTTACTGGCCCAATGCTCTTAACCGCTAGGCTACCTGCCAGCCCTGTCTAATCTCCACCATGAGGCCCACTCTGCTGTGTCCTTCCCCCACCAGGCGTTGCTGAAGACAGGAGAGCAGTGCTGGTCTCTGGCTGAGCTGGTTCAGGCTGTAGTGCTCCTGGCCCACTGCCACTCCCTCTGTAGTTTTGTTTTTGGCTCGGGCACCGACCCCGACCCCGTCCCCCTCCCCAGAGCCCCCAACGGCACCCCCCCGGGCTACTGCCTCTGTGACGCTGCCAACGGAAACGTCAGCGTGCCTCCGCCTCTCACCACGCCCTCAGAACACACACCACGACGACGGGTAAGTGTTGTGTACTGTATCAGACTGAATATGACATCAGAGCTATTCCACAACAGATCGTTGCCTGAAACCACAGTTTCATGTTGCTTCATTCTTTGACTTCACAAGTTTACATGTTTTATTGTTCTCTTCATGTCTTGGCAGTCTCTGGACTCCAGTTGTGAGATTGTGTGTTTGAAAGAGAGGATCAAGAAATCCCAGGAGGAGAAAGAGAGGAGGGGGGAGCGCCTTCTACACACCCAGACACTCCAGCACACAGGTACATTGTTCCCACTCACTTTCACACCTGAGGTTGTGAGAGCTAAACTCATGTGAACGTTGAGTGACGGATCCCTGCTCAACTATGTTTATTGACCCCCTCTCACTGTCACCTCCCAGATGTGGAAGATAAGGAGGAGATGATCTACTCAGCAGACCCCTCTCGTTTCATAACAGACCCTGATTTCGGCTACCAGGAGTTTGCCCGTAGAGAGGAAGAACACTTCCAAGTATTCCGGGTGCAGGTAAGTACACCGCTGATATTATATACAGCTTATATTCTATGTTGGAATATGTGACACCCTGCTGGGAGGCGACAGGTGTCCATGTCAGTAAAGCAGTAAATCAACCTTGGTGGAATGTGAGTACGGTATACTGCCTCATATGTCTATGGGTCTATAGTTAACTGAGGTGTTACAGGAACCATGTGAGTATTTCAGGTTTATTTGACTGTGTGTGTTTTTGTCTGGACAGGACTACTCCTGGGAGGACCACGGCTTCTCCCTGGTCAACCGGCTGTACTCGGACATCGGGCACCTGCTGGACGACCGTTTCCGCAGCGTCACGGCCCTCCCCTCGTCCCACGGGCCTGACCTGAAGAGAGCCATCTGGAACTACATCCACTGCATGTTGGGGATTAGGTGAGGGCACGCTACTAGTCTACACACACGTATACATACAACCGGCACAAGCGCACATCAGACATACACACACTGCATTCATAGTTAGAGTTCTTGTAAAGTGAGACGCTATCATGATCGTATGCATTGCAGCCGGGTTGGTCCTAGGATTCAATGCTTGTGATTCGCTGCAAAGGACCCGCTTGGTCCGCATTCACGTTTGCATGACATGTGACACCTGTGTGTGTGTGTGTGTCTGTCTGCAGGTATGACGATTATGACTATGGGGAGGTAAACCAGTTGCTGGAGAAGGAGCTGAAGCTTTATATCAAGTCTGTGGCCTGCTACCCTGACGCCACCAAGACCCCACTGTGTCCCCTGCCCTGGGCACCACTCAAACCTTCTGAGAGGGTACACACCTCACCTCACCCCACCCCATACCAATACACCCTGCGTCCATATACAGCTGAACTATATATTGGAACTAAATCTACTGCATCAAATGCAAAGTGGTCGTTTTGTGTTCTCTGTTTCAACCACATTCCATCTCTTGTGCTCTCTAATGATGTGATCCTCTCTTTTTTTATTCTCTTCTCTTAGATCCATGTGAACTTGCTGATAATGGAGGCTCGGTTACAGGCTGAGCTTCTTTATGCCCTGAGAGCCATAACCCAGTACATGATAGCTTAGGTCAGTTGGTGGGAGGGAGAGGCACAAAGTACAATTGCCAACGGTACAGAAAGACCCAGCTAGGAGGCCTCAGGGTTGGGAACCTCTTACAGCAGGCAGGGATATGGGGGAAGAGACTGGTAATTATGAGGGAGAAAGAGCAGCATGCAATGCAGCCATGTCCTACAAATGTGCGACTGTCTGTCCTATTTGCAGTTAAAAACGAGAGAAAATATTATAATGCAATCATTTAAGCTCTATTTGCGTGGTATGCACACTGCAGTGGAAAGCTCTTTGCCAAAGTCAAAGCAATCCCTCTCTTCCCCTCTCTCTGCCTTCTCATTTTCCACTCTGCAAGGTTGGTCTGTCCACTTCATTTAATGTATTTTCCTCTTATCAAACATATCTGCTATTGATGGTTAATGTGCAATTATATTATTATAATAGATATTCATTATTTTCATTTTTAGTAATGTATTGTTTAGGCTATGTCTCAATTCTGATGACTGTGATGAAAGCAGACGGTTGGTTCTGCAGTGTAGCAAGGAGATGTGTACCCATGGCCAACACAATACCCCCTTTCTTGGTTTGTGATTATTTCTGTATTTTCAACATTGCATTTGTCAAAACCAATTGTTCAACCTTTTTTATTGGATTGAGTTTGTCTTGTGACAGTCAGTGTTGGTGTAGGTAGGTGGTAAAGGTGATGGACAGTTGTTCATCGTAGCTCCCTTAACGTTTAGCATTAGTACTGAAAGTTCAAGAACAAAACCCAAACACTGCAAGACGATATCACACAACTATAGTTCCTTTTTAAAAGCACTTTTTAGATATAGATATATATTGTAGGTAGTGCAGAGATGGAGATCCATGTTGGTCTGAGTCTTTTCTTTCCACTGTATGGTGTCTAATAGAAATTATAAACTGGGCGGTTCGAGGCCCTGAATGCTGATTGGCTGACAAAACATGTATTTTTACTGCTCTAATCACATTGGTAACCAGTTTATAATAGCAATAAGGCACCTTGGGGGTTTGCGGTATATGACCAATATACCACGGCTAAGGGCTGTGTCCAGGCACTCCACGTTGCGTCGTGCTTAAGAACAGCCCTTAGCCATGGTATATTGGCCTTATATCACACCTCCTTGGGCCTCATTGCTTAATGATCCTGGGGCTGCTTCTTGGGTACCTCTGTATTCAGATCAGCTGATCTCCACTCCTACAGTCACCCTTTAACCCTAGTCTTCTTGTGTAGGTGGAGTAGTGCAGGGCTACACATGGACCTGACAGAGGCCATGGCCCCAGATCTGAAGGAGATCACAACTCACTTCAGTATCTTCGATAAATCTGCAATCGCTATGACTATTTAAAATAGTTTAACTTTAATACACACAAAGAGGTGGACAAAGTAATGTTTTGTAGAGTAAAGAATAAGCTCAGCCATATGAATGTCCGTTTTTATAGATCATAGATCATATGAAGGAATCTCCATTTCAAAGAAAACCATCCCTTAAAACTGCATTGATGCATTTAAGTGGTTGTTGAAGGTCTGCAGCACTCTGAACTGGAATATTGCAACATAAAAGTCCCCGCAAGTGACCTGCATTGGGTTTGAATTGTTGTTAAGAATACTCTACTATGCTACAGAAGATGTAGACTAAGGATCAAATGTCATCGATGGTCTGTGTATGATCTTATGCATGTGAAAAGTAGGTCTGTCTTTTTCAATTATTTATTTGGTGAGCTTTATGACCTAAAATAAAGATGCTGGTCATGGTACAATTTGCAGAGCAGAACAGCGTGGGTAGGTACTGCAAACTAGATTTTTTAAATTGAATTTGATCCTTTCTTGTTTTGTTTTACACTTTTTTTGTAAGCTTTGCATTACAGTACTATAATTGTTGAGTTCTTGATGTTGCTTCTGGGTTCGCTGCTATGTCCTGCCTGTTGCGCTGCACCCTGAATATTTTAGAGGCAGCGGGGTGGAAGACCCTTTCAATAGGCTTGACCGTTTGAAATGACAGGAGAGAGAAGAAAAATGTGCATATCAACAGAAGCGCTTTTTAGCGCAGGTGCCTTTAGGCCAAACTGGACTGGTGCTTGAGTGGGCAGACATGACTACTCTGGGCTAAGTGAGGGCCTCGTTAGAGCAGACTGCCCCGATGGCTTCTCAGGAACAGTGTTCTGTGGCCCATATAGAACGCCCAGTGCCATCACTACTGGACACAAGTGTGCACAGTAGCTCGTCTGCTACCCACCTTTTGCGGGAAAATGAGTTGAAGTAGATGTACTGTAGCGCAAAAGAGCACTACAGTCCTCATTGGCTGCTCGTCAACACCTCTATGACATCGTTATGGCTCCAAATGCAGGAGCGAAAGAGTCTGTGTTCCTGTCTGAAGCTTCCGACCACCAGGCCAAGGAACCAAAACGATAAGAGCCACTGACACAGAGATGGATGTTACAGTTGTTCAATATTTACCACGTAAATGAATGGACAATAAAATAAAATAAACAAAAAAATAGTAAAACATAAGTAAAAAAATAAAAAAAGAACTTGTTTTGGAAATGTGAAGACTTATTTTTTCTATAAAGATGTTCTATCAAGCGAGTGTGTTTCCACTTTTTCTTTTTACTGGGGTTCCCTAATTGTGCTTTCACATTTGCCATATGCTGTACTCATTTCATATTCAAATCTAAATCAACAGTGCGTACAACTGAAGGACTCAACTACAGCAGTACATCAAGGAAACCAGTTTAGTCATACCATTCACAGTACTATTGGAATAAGTGCAATTCAGAAATGTAAATACCACATCACTGACACATATTTCCAAAAAATATAATACAAAGGGGGGGGAGTCCTTACATTGAAAAGTTGAAAGGATGGTTGTCTTAGGTCATTGAGGAGGAGTAAGGGTGGAACTATCCTGGATCCATAACAGAATCTGAGACAGGAGACAGATGGCATGGTGATTTGAGCATGTCTGAAATCAACTCATCACGCATCCCCGACCATTGGCCGAGTTCCCTTCTGATCCCTCACCCCTGTGATCATCTTACTGAGAAATCCACATTTAACCTATCATGCTGTTGTGCAATATGGAACAGTCAAGCAGTTGTGCTCATGCTGCATATTGCTAACAGTTGATATGTCTCACTAACATCAGGCATAGTCAGTATGACTTCTGCACATTGATCTGATCCTGGTACTGCCTGTATAGAGCTTAATTCTTGTTTCGAGTTTATTTTTTAACTGCATCGTTGATTTGATTGCTTTTGAGGGACTAACTGATTCCAGCTATGATAAGTGAACGGATGAAAGATGAATGAACTGGGTTCAGCTTTGTTCTTATTCTATTCTCCATTCCACTCCCACAGAGTCCTCACATGCTCCTATTTTCTGATTCTCATAAACACAGCCAGCAGGTTGCAACAGAGGCCTGAATGAATTCATAGGGTAATTTCCTACATACATTTGAAAGGCCTCCGTCCCTTGTGACAACATGATTAAACCATTGTAGTTGCTATTGGATAACATCAGAACATGTTAATGTATTAATAGTTTCTTAGAAATGTGGGGATCGAGGTGCACCCGAGAAACATTTTTCTATACATTTAGACCCTCTAGTGGCAGATATTAAGCATTGTGCATTAATGTTAAAGGCCCAGTGCAGTCAAAAATGTGATTTCCCTTTGTTTTATAAATCAAATCAAAGTTTATTGGTTGCGTACACAGTTTAGCAGATGTTATAGCGGGTGCAGTGAAATGCTTATAATAATATGCCATTTAGCAGACACTTTTATCCAAAGCGACTTACAGTCATGCGTGCATACATTTTTGTGTATGGGTGGTCCCGGGGATCGAACCGGCGTTACAAGCGCTGTGCTCTACCAGCTGAGCTACAGAGGACCACTACAGAGGACCACAACACTGCCTAACAGTGAAGTAAAATTCCAAACAATCTGAGAGTTTTGGCATTTCATGGTGACATCACCATGGGGTAAATTAGTTAATAGACCAATAAGAAAGAGAGTTCCAAACATCTCTGCCAATAACAGCTAGTTTTCAGTTTCCCCCTCCCCACTCAAACCACTCCCAGACAGTCCTAGCAACATTCTTGCTTGAGAAATTGCTCTTTGCTAAGAAGCTATTTTTGTTTCTTTGTGACCATTTTTAAAGTCATAGTAACCTTAATTGTTAGTTGATATTGAAATTGAGATAAAAATGGCTGCATTGGACCTTTAAAACATGAAAAACGTCCCAATGTTATATTCGTTGATACCATGAAGTTCATGAACAATATAAATGTGAATACTGGTGAACCAATAAAATAAAGAACGATTCGGCTAAATGAGTTAAACAGATTACGTTTATTTCCACTTTCCAGAAGGGTTCCAAAGCCATCTTTGGCTTACTTTACAATATGTAAAGTAAGATTGGGAGAGAAATAAGACAAAAACGATCAGAATTAATCGAAGTAATTAACACATTTGGCTAGGCACAACTCATCAACACCTGATCACACACCCCTTCTAAAAACCAAACAAAAAACGTAACTCTGTCCACATACTGTATTATTAAAGTGGGGCCATTTTTTATTTTTTTAAAGAAGGCCATTACTAACAGCTACTTTTATCATGAGAAAATGAGTATTAAAGAAATTGAATAAAAATATAAAGAGTGGAAATATTACAGGGAATAGGGGATACAAAGTCAAAAGACTATAATTGTAGTTGACAGTGGGGGAAACTCCAGCAGATTACTCAAGGTATGACCTAGCAAATACAGTCTATGGGAAGAATGTCCCCTATACCGTGCTTTTAAACACGGCCACCATACTTTCAGTCAACACTTAACAACACAGTTACACCACTGTCCGACAATGACACATTCCCTTTCATACAGTCAATCCTATCAAACGCTCACACCCACACTAAGATGCATATGGAGAGGACATCTCTCAAAGACCCAGCCAATAGTGTTAACAATAGTATGACCATAGAAATAGAATGGGCTTGGA